TCAGTGCAGGGTTGAGTGGGTGAATTCCTCCTCTTCTGCCTGTGATTATATAGCTTCTAAACAGTATTTGGTAGTTCTGGAAACGGTCGTCGTGTAGTCGTGTGTAATCAAACTACAGACGACCGTTTCCAGAACTACCAAATACTGTTTAGAAGCTATATACTCACAGGCAGAAGAGGAGGAATTCACCCACTCAACCCTGCACTGACGATGTCACCTCTGTTGGTGATGAAATGTTTGCAATCCAACTGCCAAGCTCGGCGAACAGACCAACAACCAAACAGCGCACCCGAGCTACCTACATTCCACAACATTGCTACCAATAATTGCTGTTTGTTCATTGGATTTACTTACGTCCCAGCAGAATTCACTTATTAGCGATGGGCTAAGTGCTCCCGGATACATGAATATGCAAGCAGGTGGGCTTGGCGTTGCTAAGGACCAATTGGGTGGCCATCTTGGAATGAAACTGAGGCCCATGAACAACGATAAACGCCTGCTGCATTTATATGATAATCACAAACTGTTTCTGTGCAGTACTAACTTCCGAAACAATCAAAGCCGCCTTACCGCCTTTTGTCTTCTACAGTTGAATCAATCTTCAACTCAAATAGATAATATTAGCTATAGGTGGCGTGGATTATTAATAGATTACCGCTCGTTTTGAAACATCTTTGTGGGTTCGAACCACTTGTTTCTTCATTGTTGCTCCTCGTTGCGCTTCTCAGGGAGGCAAAATGTGCGTTTATCTCGCCTGCTGGGCTCACCGAACTAGTTCCAAACAATGGATCTCGAGCAACACTCTAAAATTAGTCGGAGCCCGCAAAAGTATTACTCCTGGTGGAGGGCACAAAACCATTTGACAAACTGTCTGACTTCGAGTGGAAATAGCATTTGAGCCGATCGAGAAGCTTGGTGGATATAGAAGAGTAAAGAGATGGAAGAGGCGAGAAAATCTCTAGGAACGTGCCTAACCTGTTCAGGCTGATATGCGCAGAAGGCCCAAAGATACCTCCAGTGAGCAAAACGATCAACGACAAAAATGGCTCCCCTGCTTCTAAAAAGTAAGTGCCTAATCCTTTGAACTGAACACTTTCGAGTACAATTTAACTGGTCACCTTTGATTACTAAGCCAAGTTTGCGATCCACACTGCATCCCCGGACGGTGAAGATTAAATCTCCGACAGCTTCGTAAATGAGTGAATGCCTTTAAACCTTCAAGGGTTATCGAGCAGCTGGATCTGAGGAACCCCCACTAGCTGTGTTCGAAGATGGAGGCAACATCCCGGGTCGATGTCGTCTAACTAACTTGCATCTATCCAGAACAGTGTCCCAATGAACTGGAGTGATTTGATAATGACGTCCATCTCCAAACAGTCTGCTTGCAGTGAGTGTGGCAATCACAAAGGAATCAGCTTGACTTCCGGTGTCGACTGTTCTACGCTTTTTTTACAGAGGCGCGGGAAGAAGGGGCTGTGTGGACCACATTTTCACACTCTATCACTTGTTCGGCCAACGAAGTATGTATGGGTTCTGTGCTATCTTGATGTTCCATGACTTCAAAGATGCTTCCAATTTCGTAGACCGGTTTGTTATTCGTAACAAGTTCGCGCAACAGGGTACGTCCTAGAACCTCTAAGTCTCGTGCGCTATTTGTATTCACACAGTTTTGGGAACGTGGGTATGGAATGCTCTCAAAAACCTTTTCTATAACCAGTGGTGTCCGACAAGAAAGTCCACTCTATTCATTTTTTGCAATTTATTCACTGATGAGATAATGAGGCGAACACTCGAAAGTCACCAAAGTCCAGGTATTCAGGTCTATCCGAATAAGAAACTTGTTGACCTGGTCGATGTAGACAAACTCGTTCACGTATCCGATCAAGGTCAGCAAGTTCAAGCATTACCAGAAAAACCGATCAAGCTTACCCAATCCTTCGTCATGCGCTTCACGACAACAAAGCGAAAAATCATGTTGCGGGATGCGCAGTCCTTCAACGTGGCTTCGAGAATACAAGGAGTGATAATGGAAGTTGTGAAATGCCGTACTTCTCTTAGAAGTTGCGTTAGCTCCGAGTGTCATGTGACAGACACGGTCAGTACACTAATCTCAAGGGCCGGGTTCGCTTTTGTGAAGTTGTGTCGCTAGCTGTGTCAGAAATCTCTAGGCGGACGCGTACAGTGTGAGCTGTATTTTCAGGTCTTTGTCCATCCGTGTTTCAGGATTATAGATGGAATCGCTTGGAGTCAATGATTTCGGAATGAGGTAATCAGGAGACTGATTTCTGGTGAAGCCAAGAGTAATTCACTCAAAGGATGCATGCAAGCTAGGCTGGCTGGGTTATCAAGTTACCGCCTGCCCAGAAAACGGTTGTTTTGCATGAATAATACGGAGTTGCGAAATCGGAGTAGTGGACAGAATTTGACGCGAAAGGAGGGAGTAAAGATCTTCGTGATAAGCTTGGGCGCTGTTGGTGCCGTTTGCCTTCCAGGATGACCCACCTTGAGTTTGACTGAAGACATTGTATTATGTCACCGGCTTTCATTCTGTCAGTTTGTATCCAGACTGTTTGACTGAGTGCTGTAGGCACCGTGGATATTTGTGGTAAACTATCCCCAGATCCCACTCCCTCAGCTACTTCTCCTTTCTTTCCATTATAAGGCTTTATTCAAATTGTACGACAGTAAGAATGACGATGTTGATGACTCTCGACGAACCAGTGAACTGGTTGCTCATCAGTCTGCTTATTACCTTCTTTGAAAAAAGCTATAATCCTCCCGACTGTGCTCCCAACGTGGATATACGACAGAATGCTGTTTAATAGATGCGGAACGATATCGCATTAGAGTTTCTAACGCACTGTTGTATAGAAAGCCGTATGCCTGGTCTTCCATGTGATTAATTCGATACCGGCGCAGGCTCCCAGTATTTTCGCTTTGCGTCCATAGACTTGTGCGAGTCACCAGAGGAACAACAGCCTTCTGTCTTTCCAAGCTGCATGACATGACATTCTATAACTCTGAAATCATTCTAAGCCCAAGTAGCTAAGCAACAAGGGGACTCACATTATGAAGAAATGCACCACTTGTAAGGACAATTGAGTAAGTTGGAGACGAACCAGCCACGTAGGTCCATACTTTTTTCTCGGAATCGTACGCGTGACTTCTTGCAGGAAATCCAACCAAACGATCGCGATTTTCTTTCCATACACTAAGAAATGGTGTAGGCGACAGAGAGAGAGGAAGGCAGGGGAGATAACTATCCAATCTGTGGTATTAGAGGTTTCGAATTTACAAATTATTCTAACGCTATCTGAAGGGAGGGGGTCAGTATCAATACCTCACTAATACTAATAATCATGGAACAACCATGTTCACTTTTATCATCTCACTGAATAATTGAGATTCTGCAACGGTCCCGGGCGGCTCATATATAGACTCATTGTACCGAATCTCCATATCTTTGTATAGACGGATTCACTGTTGCGTCATGCCCTCGTTGTCTGTCATTTGCCCTCAGCCTCCAAAATACTGGATTAAAACAAAATTTAATTTGTTATTGCGATCGTAGCGTTGTTGACTGACTTCGATTTTGCCTACCGTTAATACATTGCGCATCTCTTGGTTTCGAACACCAATCAACGTTAATTATGCTGGGTTGATTATCCCTGCCACGATGCGTGGTTTTAGCCCGATCTATCTGAGACTACGCGTTGATGTTTCAGAGGAAACCGAATGTGGTAACCTCACAACACCGGAATTCAATTAAATCAATTGAAGTAGTGTTACTGTAGTGTTACTTATGACCCCAAGTTCAACAAAAACTGGAGGAATGGAAGTTGTTTTACCTTAATACAAATGATTGACCACGAATTACGAGTGTGTCAGATGAAGATATCGAATAGCAGATATAATTCATGCACTGGCTTCCCAAATCCTGTTAGGAAGCAATTCACCCACCTAAATATTGTGCGAGAACCTATGAGATTTCATCGTTTTCGAAGAAGTTTGGTGACAATCGGTAGATTTATCGCTGGGCAACGTTTCGCTTTTAACACAAAGGGTTCTTCAGGCTAAGTGACTACGCTGGTCGAGATTTGAGGCGGAAGGAGAACCAATCAGTTAAGTCAAGCTGAATCTCTGTTGGGTGTCGGCCGAGGAATTTTAGTGTGTTAGAGTGGTTGGACAAGTGTTGGGTCTGTGGGGAAACCTACATGTCTTTGGGTCCAGCTTATGGTCTAGTTCTTCTGGTTCGGTTCATTTGATGCTTCCTCTTGAACGTCGTTTGAACGTTCTGTCCGTCTGTGTGGATGAGCTAGTGCTAAGATAGTTGTGTAAGAGGAATGGGATAACCACCCCCACCCCCCGTTTTTTAATGATCCTATGTGGATTGACAACCACTCGGCTTATCTAAGACCGCTTTCAATACGCTCGCCAGCTCCACACCCTCGATTCTATTCACGCTGTGATGTTTAGTAATTTCCACCGCCTCGGCTATCAGCCGCTGTGGTGTGAATCGGAGTTCCCGTCTTAAAACTTCCACATTCTCCAGATCTATTCTATGTCCCGTGTCTAAGGCATGTACCGCCATCGCTGAGTCTTTTACCAGAGTTTGGTATTCTTCTGCATTCCTTGGTTTGTTTATCCTTATTTTATGCTAACGAATTCTGGTGTGCGATTCCCTGGCAGTTTGTTCTATGTAGTCCTTAGTGCAATCGTTGCAGTTAATTTTATACGCGCAGTCCCTAGACCTTTCAACCAGCAAGGGATCTTTCAACTGCACCAAAACTGAGCGTAGCGTTTCTCCCTTCTGAAAAGCTACTCGAATGTCGGCTAAGTTCAGCAGTCTTCGAATAACCTCTGATATTCCTGCTATGTCTATCTGTAACTAGGTGACTAAGGAGACTTTCGAGTGCGGGCTATAGTTCACTGCGGAAATCTTTGGCAGAATATGACTGAAGTTAAGCGCATCGAGTAGCCCTTCATTTTGACATGTTTGAAACAAGTTTGCGAAATTTCACTGTCGTAAATTACGATATGCAGCTAGGACAGTGCACTTAAAAGTCACTTTGAATACCTAAGCTTCACATCTAAAATTCCATGTAAACTGAGTCACATGCGGAGGGCTTTTCAAGGACTTTTGGGATGCATAGTCACACTTGATCAGTTTAGAGGGCTGACTGAAATTCATGACTTAAGGACAATAAAACCCGAATAGTTCAGCCCAAATTTCCTGATTAACTGGATCCTTCTGACTGGTTTATACTATGTGTATCGGCGATTCAGCTAATGTTCAGTTCAGTTCAGTTTCCGGTGACCATCACGTCCAGTTAAAATGAGTGCATCACTTGACTTACACAGAATTCGATGTTGTCGAAAAATAGGAGTTATGAGCCCAAAGAAGGGCGAAACCGGTGACAGCTGTTAAATCCCTCCAACTAACCTCATGTAAACAGTGTTGATTTGACAAAATACCTCGATATGCTGAATGACGTTTGCACTCAAACGCGAGGCCGGCTTCTATGCATTAAATCCCGTTGAAGGGCATTGTACACAAGAGGTTAAAGTAAAGCTCAACTGAGTCTCCTATCAACGCAACGTCAATTTGTAAATGAATGCGAATCATTAAAAAACAGATCGAAATTAGACGACTTCGTCAAGAACGGATCGGTTACGTTTGAGACTATCAAAAACCATCCAGGATTGATCGGTATTTTATGCAATGCAAAATTGTTTGGAAGCCTCCCTACACAATAATTCTCCATGGGACTTCAGCATAAAATGCATTGCGATTAAAATTGGCCGTACTAGCTGCAATTCACGTCTAACTCATACAACGTTGGGATTATATACGGATTAGTCACTGCGTGCTTGTTCAGTTAGGCCATTTCCCACCTGTACTTTATCGTCTCAGTCCAGTTTACTCCTCTTTTTATTGATTTTAACATTCAGGAATGTTGGTAGGGCTTTTCACAACTGCAGCTGTTCAGAGTTTCATGCTTACCTGTCGACTGTGGAGACAGTTGGGCAGTTTTGAAATTAAAAATACACAATTATCCAGTAGTTTGCTGATGTACTCGATATTTTATCACGTAATAATATTGTCCTTAGCTTCCGGTCAACAATGTTATTGCAACTGGCTAGAAGTGGGTTGGGTAGGTGACCTACTTGAAACCGGTTCTTATCTGATCTGGGGAAAGTTTCATATCGTCATCCAATGCCAGAACAGCTTCAGTCTCGATGATATCCAGGGGCAGAAATCTGTTGTTCAGACTATTGTTTTGAGCTCTGTATACCTACATAAAAACATAAAAAAGGCGATATTATAAGTAGTAATGGCAATAGTAAACGTTTCTAAATTAAAGAAAATCCAATTCCATCTAATTGTTCATCAGATATCCTATTCAGGGGACCGAAAGATTTTAGTTGAAAATTTAACCTGTAAGTGAGGTAAGCCGATGCTGGGAGACCAAGAAACACCTTAGGGTTGCTTTGTCCTTCTTGAAATTGTTCGGTTTCACCGTGGTGTGACGGTTTGCGCACCTCAGCGATCCATTGAGCTATACTGGGGAGTGTCCCGCGACACTCACAGAGTCTCTCATACCAGGTTGGTCAATGGTTAGAGGTCTGACGAACACAGTCTCCTGGCCCTCCAGGTTGGGGGTTGGAACATGTGGCGACTTGTTCCGTAGAAATGGTAATGCATTTGCATTTCCCGCCAAACACCGCTGCCTTGCGGTTAGGCTTTCGAGTCAAAGGCTTTGGTTGAGGACCCTAATCGTCCTCCTGTCTAGGTGTGGGCGCCCTGGCAGTATCCCAGCCCACGTACAACCATGACATTCACGACTATACGACAGTGAAGCATCGGTGTTGAACACTGATGTCATGCTTTCGATGATGATGATGATGATGATGATGATGATGATGACGATGATGATGCGTTTCACTGGTTGGTAAGTGGATGGGAATCTGCAATTCTGCAATTGGTAGATCAGTCGTCACAGGCTGACCATTAGTGCGACTGACTCGTACTTCGGCACAAATCAGCTTTGTTAGTTCATTTAAGATTTCGATCATTTCATTAGATTGCCATCTTGGTCTACGTGCCCAATTGCTCGCATTTCAGAACAAACAATTCTGGCTTCCCATATTTTACCCGAGAGCTAATGACTCACAGGACTAAGGCATCTGTCAGTTCTCATGGGCAGCCGTATCTCCCAACTATTTCTGTAAGTATAGGTGACCAATAATCCACTCGACGACTACATGTACGGAGGGACGGAAAATTTTGCAGTGTGTTTCGTGCAATGAGGATAAATGTCAGCCTCAAAATTTCCACAACTAAAAGGTAGTGCACACTCTGTGGACTCCTCGCTTGGAGAGTTCAGTCCAACCGAACCTCGTCTTTGGGAGGGCCTCAAATGGTAACTGGGTGATATTGGAAACTTGGAAATATTGGTGGAATATAGGATTAGTTGGGCACGTTGCCACTTTTAGAGGTAGAAAAGAGAAATGAAGTGTGTGTTCGGGGAAATGGCTGCTGTCATCTAAGGAAACTGCTGTCTTTTGGTTGATCGGCTCCCCGACTGCAATATAGAATGCCATGGTGTGATGTACATATTAACAATCGTTCAGCTGTAACACCCTTCTGGTGCCTAGCTGCCATGCCACACCAAGGAAGCACGAAGGCTGGGATACTGTCAGGTCGCCCAAGCCTAGACAGGGAAAGTCGAGAGGCAGAGGTCGGGTTCGAACCACGGACCTTCCGGTCAGTAAATTCGCGCACTAACCACTTGAGCCATCTCGCCCACATATTAACAATATTAGATACTTGCCCAAAAATCATGAATAAGGCCTTTTGGTCTACTTCACTCCTTAGTCATATCGCCGTAATAGGTCATTTCGGAACAACACAGGTGGATGTGGGCTTGAGGTGTTCATCCTACGAGTGGTCTCACAGATAAATAGGTTTGATCGTTAAAAAGATTGTCTGGTGAGATGTCCCAATAAAAACATGCATTCAAGGATAAATGAAAATTAAATTTTCATTATACGGAGCTATAGCGTTTGGAACCCTCGAGATCCTCACCGGTGCCCGCCGTTTCAACTCAAAGTGAAACTAAAGGAGAAAAAGATTTTGAATAAGTCGCATGCCGTAAGATATGGGGGTATGTTGTTAACCTTGTTCTACTCCAGTTAAGTCGTGTGGG